CCTTCATATTATCTTTTTGGTATTTCTTGACTTCAACAAAGGTAGGGTCGTTATGAACTGACGGGCTAAAAATGAATATACGGGCGAAGCAGTCCCTATAAACATTTAGCATAAGGTTTTGTATTGAAACTGTTTTGCCTCCCGTTGATGAAGCAACAACGATGGAGCGGAATGGTAGTTTTGGCACATGCTCATATTTAGATTGATTGAAATCGTAATCAGTTATGTTTATTGGCTTTATTATTGGGACATCAGACACAACAAAATAATATTAAAACTATTTAGAAAACATTGTATATCTGTTATTTTATATGAATAGAAGTTATTCAGATTATATTGATTTAATAGATAGAGTAGAAAATATAGAACAAGTTGCTATACCTGATAATAAACCAAAAAATGCTTTTATTATTCGTTAGAATTGATTAAGTTTGTGATACAATATATTAAAAATATAAATATTAATATAGATGGGAAGAAAGAAAAAGAATAAGACTGAACCAGTTGTTTCTTCAACTGATGAAGAAAAAGAAGAAATTGTTAAAGAAACATCAGTTATTGAGGTTGCTTGTCCAATGTGTAAAAACATGTTAGAAATGAAGAATGAATTAGAAATACAAAAGAAAGGAAACGGTGAATGTTCGTGTATTCCAACAAGTTTCAAAATAAGTAAGAATGATAAGAAAATGAGTATTGATACAATTAAAGATAGTATTAACTTAGAAACAGATGTTCATAATATTGCTATACGCTTTGGGAGGGGAGTTACTCCATCCGATAATGGTGATAAGGAAACACAGGAAACTATACGTGAAATGATGAAAAATAGTATTTAAAGAGTCGATTTAACATGATTGCAACAATTAGTTTTAAAAGTTTAGTTATATAATTTAGTATATATATGGAAGAACATTGAGCGAACATTGACAGTAGTTTGGAGTTGTTGTTTCCAAGATTAGAAAAAGTGTTGGAGCAAAATGAAAACATACTGAAAATCTTAAAGAGCATGAATATTAAACCTGCATATAATAACAATAACAATTGCCAAGCAAAAGAAGTAGTTAGAGACAGTAGCGAATACAAAAATAAACGAAACATTTATGTTAAAAAAACTCAATGAAAAAGTCATAAAAGAACCTAAACAATCAAGTCTGGATTACTATCAGGTCAAGTATAAAGAAGACACCAAGAAATACGTTTAATCATTAACTAACAAAATTGTGTGTCTCAAAAGCGGTTGGTTTATTCCTGCTACTTTGTAAGTTTTATTACCCATAATATCATATTCTATTCTATCAACATTGAATATTTTATTAGACCATTTAGAGTTATACTCCTTTCTGTCGGTGTAATTACCCCTTTTCTTTTGGAACACTTTTACCTTGTCGTTCTCCTCCATTCTGGGATACTGTCTTTTGTTTTTTCTCGTAGTTTAAGATTGACCTTTAAATTTATTTCATTGTCGTCCTTGTGTGCTTCGGGCGGTGTCATCCTTGTTGATGAGTGTGATGTGCTGTTATACTGTTTCAATGCTGGTGTTAGGGCGTCGGTCCATTTCATGTTGTTAAGCCTAACTCTATCGTGAATTTTGTTTTTCATCGTTCTAATAAAACGCTCGGCTACATTTGCGTGGGTCTTCGTGACGATGTGGTGTATTCCAACACTGTTGAAGAAATCCTGAACTTGATTCTTAGTTGCAAACGCGCCCATCGTCATCAGAATGCACGGACATCGGATAACCCATCTTTTTAAAACTTGCTCTCAACGCCTTCAAGACGTGCTCACCGTCTCTTTCCTCCATCGGTATTACATCTGCTAATTTACTGAAGATGTCAATCACGACTAAAGCATACTGTGGAACGTTCTTGTCTTTTGCTAAAGGTGACATATGCATTATGTCTATTTGATATTCAAATCGTGCGAATGGAGCGGTATAGGAATTAGTGCCTCTGTAACTTTTGATTTGTTTATTTGGTTGTTTCTTTAAGAAAGACTTTACATCATCTAATGTTCTTGATGGGTCTTCTTCCTTTGCCTTCTTGTGTGTCGCTTGTGTGCTTCCGAAACCCTCGTCTAAGTCGTAATAGATGTTGCTGATTACTTGGTCTTTTGTTAATCTCGCCATTATAATAAATTGTTAGAAAATATTTTTATCAACATAAACCCCGCCCCTTAACATAAAATGAAAACTACTTAAAGAAATATTAACTTATTATATTAATTAGAGGACTTGAATTTAGAAAATGTCGGAGTGATTGTTGACTTATCAAACTGGACGCTATCAGACGAAGAAGATGATGAAAATGACAGTTATAGAAAGGAGTTAGAAGAAGAGTTAAACAAAATAAAGGATTTCATCAAAAGACACCCTTTGACACCAGTTGATGAGAAAGATGTCATTAACAGGTTTAGGGATAATAGCGGATTAAACTTGATGGCAATATACTCATTTGTTAGGTTTGACATCATGAAAGACATGTATGAAAACCTAACAGATGAAGACATCATAAACGACTGTGGTAAAAAGTTAAACCGAGATGGAAAGTTTAAAGCAATGATTATTAACCACTATATCTTATCAGGATCGATACGGAAACTAAACAAAGAAGACAGTCTAGTAGATGGACAGATGCGAATTATTGAATTCTGGTGGGATGGAATAGGTGAATGGAAAGCATGAGTGATTTAGTTTAATGATATTATTCAATTATAATATGATAAAACCTAGTTTTTATAATCTAACAAGAAGGTTAAGACATTTAAATTAAACCTGAAACCCAGACCAGCCGACCAGTAACCCCCGCCCAAAAAACTACTTAAAGAGAAAAAGCCTTATATATAAAGAGAAAAATGAGTGAGGGTAAAATGTCAGAGAATAGTTTTATGGTTGAGAATTGTGCTAGCTTACCTATGGAAACATTGTTAAACATCGCTTCTTATATGATTGGCAATGAAGGGTGGCAAAGACTAAAACAGTGTAAAGCATTAAGGGTCTTACAAAGGAAATGGAAACCGTCTATTTACACTGAACGAGTAGGAGAAAGTAGATATTATGCGTTGATTAGCAATAAATGTTTGAAAGGTGATAAAGCGCTTTCATATGCGTTGAAACCACCAAAAGAATTATTAAGAATGATGAAGTATGATGAAGAAATACAGGTTGGAATAGAAGTTGGTTCGAAAATTATGTATAATAATAATATTTGCAGCTGTCGCTCTTATTCATCATCTAAACAGAATAAGATTTCAAGTAGAGCGTCATTACAATACCATATTGAACAATCAGTTGAAGAAACCAAACAGACTATGAAACGACACGAAATCAGTACTATCGAACATGTTACAATTGAAATTTATAGAAAACAGAAACAATGATTTCATTGTTTAATCATAATATTTAATTATAGTATGATTAAACATTGTTTTATAATCTAACAAGAAGGTTAAGACATTTAAATTAAACCTGAAACCCAGACCAGCTGACCAGCAACCCCCTAGCCAAAACTACTTAAAGAAATATTACCTTATATATTAAGAGGAAAATGAACGGTGAAGAAATCAATAATTATATCAATAAAAAATGCTATGATTGTTGTCACTTCAAAAAAGAAAATATGGAATTGTATAAATTGAATTTACCTAATGAAATAGTGAATAATATTATTAACTATTCAATGGATGGTGAAGAAGACATATGTAAAAATTGTAAAAATTGGAGAGATAATCAATGTTTAATCAAATGTCTGTTGGGAATAAAAAGAATACATAATAGAAATGTAGAAGATGAGATTTTAATATGTCTAACTGTAAATAAAATACCACCTTATCATTATGTTAAACAGCTTCTTAAAATCAGTAAGAAAAAACATGAAATGATTGATGATATATTATGGATGTTGGGTTATAGTCAAAAGAAAGAAGAAGATGTTAAAGAAAATATCAAATTATTTATTGAAAGTGAAAAGTTTAATGTTCAAAATACAGTGAGAGATATTAATATTATTTTTAAAATGATGTATGAAAGAAGTAAGACAAATCAATTAAATTATTATCCTGAACTGAAATTATAATCATAATATAATAATAACATGTAAAATCTTATATGTTATAATTATACTGAACTTTTAACCTATAAATGAAAATTAGTGAGAAAAACACTAACAAAACAAATACACCAGCAACACCCCCAGAACTTGATAACTACTAAAAGGGGTAACTCTTTCAAATGAAAAACATGTCGGCCCCCAGCCCAACAATGAACAAGGGGGGCAATTACCCAAATGATTACCTTAACGAAAACGATAAATAATCTCCCCAAAACACCCCTTTTAAAAACGAATAAGGGGGAACACAGATTTGAGATTAACATAAAAACCAGAACAGGCAACCATCAACAGGCCACCCCCCGGGCTCCCCCTTTTTACCATTTTTCCCCCCCCCCCGGCCAACTGGGCGAAACTACCCTACACCTTAGCTCGGAAAACAGACCCTCCGACTTCAACACGATGTCCACCTTTGTGCCTATCATCTTGTCACCCGCCCCAGGCATGCTTGGTTGCGTAGAGAGAAGGAGTGGCCAAACCGGTGACTAGACTCCGTGAAGCAAAAGTGCCTACCCTCCAGGATTAGTCGTATTAAAGCCAGGCTGCCAAGACCGACTTTAAAGCTACCATGCAACTTGAAGCAAAGTCGAAACAGTTGCCACAATACCCGCCCCTTCCACCAGCGCACCAGCACAAACACTCTCTCATCCTCTCTGCCTCTCTCTCTCTCTCTGTTGCTCTCTCGCTCTCTCTATTTCTCTCTCTCTCTCTCTCTCACGCTCTTTCTGTTTCTCTCTCTCTTCTTGCACCAAGTCACACGGTCACGGTCTTACTTCCGTGCGCTTGCTCTGTCGCAATCCCAAATCCGAACCCTCTTTCTGTCCCGTTTGAAGCGCTTGAGACAAACCCAGCCCCGTTTGAAGCGCTCGTTCGCCCCCGGTACACCCCAGACCGCGCCGCGGGCACCAGCGCTGCTCCCACCACCGCACCCAGGCAGGCGCCCTGGGGCAGGCCCACCAGGGCTCCAAAGACCTGCCTCGACCTCAGTCGACCAGACCGCACCCCGAACAGGCGCCAAGCAACAAAAGAACTGCCAGCGACCAGTAGCAACCAGTGCAGTAGTTAGTGCCCTTCTGAGAAGACCCGGCCATAACTGCTGTCCAAGCCTGAGGCGACTGATGAAAACGTATGGATCCAAGCTTAGGCTGTTGGAACAGCTTCTATCTTCATGACACTTCAGCTCGCTTCGCACCATCCTGGGCGGCGGACCGGTGTTGGCCTGTCATGCACCACTCCTCGGCCAAGGCTGGACACGTGATCAAACCAAGGGGCAGCCCAAAACAAGTTCAAGCCAGGTTTCCTACCAACCCGTGCGGCCATCCTCAACCAAAGGCAATTCATGTGCAACACAAACTAAACTTGCAGAAGGGGGGGTACATGAGTTGGCACATCTGTGAACCCGAGTGCTTTGCATCAGGCCGAGGAAAGAGTAGAGTATGCTCCGTGCCTTTGTTTCTTCTTTCGTGCGGAGGGGAAGACTTCCGCAGACCCCAAAAGAAGGCCTCTGAAAGAGACCACGTGTCGCTTGGCTTCCACCTGCCTCCCTCCTAATCCGAGGCGCCGTGAAGTGCTCGCAGTTCTTCCAGATCAAGTTGTAGCCGCTCTCCCCAACCCGTGACAAGGCACGCTGCAAGACTTCATCCTTGGGCGCTTGGCTTCAAAGGGGAAGTTGCTTGCTGGTTCCTTGCGGGGGGGGGGGGGGGGAAACGAGCCGATCCAATGATTTCCTCGGACGGTTGGGATCATTCCCAATGTGCATCTCAATCTTTCACTCAAATCAACAAAAACCGTTTACTGGGCCAAGGGCAACACTGCAAGTCTCTGTGTTCAGGGGATGGCCATAGCGCTCCTCCCTAATCGCTCCAAGCAATCGCGTGAACTGAGACACCGGTAGCACAGGAGAGGTTCGCCATTCAAATGGTGACGGAAACCAACATGGGTCAAACGCAAGCGAAACAAGGTCCAAGCAAGTCCAACCCCAAACAACTGCCCCCTAAAGGGCGGTGCTGCAAGCTAATCCCCGCCCCCCCCTCGCTGCAAGCTCCAAACACAGGCAAACTCCAGACAGCCCACATTTGGAGTAAGCATAGCGTGCCAGCCACACCCCTCCTACCATGATGAAACATACAGCGGTCTTCCTGGCAAGAAATACTTGTTTGTAGAAATATGGGGAATATTCTAAAATAGGTTTTGGGCCTTTTGCACTCTGGAAACCGCATTTGAAAGGGATCGAATCGGGGGCTTGCAGTTCTGACAGTGGCGTTTGCCTGGCCAAAACGCGTCCTAGCCTTCCGCCCTTATCAAATTGGAATGCGTTGTTCCTTCCAGACCAAAAGTGGCAGCGTCAGTGGCTGCAACTGTTGAGTGGCGGCACGTGACGCAAAGGGAGGACCCAGTGAAACTCTTTGTGAGAGCTCAGGTGGCTCACGGAACTTTGCTCATGGACCGCCTTGAGTGCCTGTTCTTGTGCTTTTCTCATCGAACGGTGAAGATTAGTTTTCTGGCCCATTCCAACCTGCATCCCATTTGGCTGCCGCCCAGCCACGGGGTTCGAAGGGCGCTGCACCTGGGCCGCAACACAGGCGCGGCGCAGGCTCTGCCGCGAACCAGCCCTTCAAACAAAGCGCGTTCCGCGAGAACATCTTACCTGATCGCAGCCCTCCCACCTAAGAACACCCATAGCCCAAACGGATGTCGAGGCAGGCCCAAAAACCCGCTATGAGGCCATGACCTTCAGGTTTCAAACTTCTTCCGAACCACGTGGGGACCAGACAAGGGACAGCCAGGGCCCGCGCCAGCGTGTAGTCCCGCAAGTTCCGCACCTCGTGGCGGATTTTGCCCCGCAGCCTCGCCAGAGGCGCGAACCGCGCGCGCTGGGCCGCTGGGCGATTGGCCGCAGCCCGTGCCGGCGGCAACTTGCGTCTTTTTGAACAAAAGTAGACAAAAAGCCATCAACATGTCACTTCCCACTACTATTCTTCAATGTTACATTAAGTTACATTTTATTACTATTCTTCAAATGGAAGAACCACTAGCCGAACCGTTAGGCCGCTGGAACTTCCCGCAACACGGTGCCACTGCCATGCTGGAGGCATTCTCGAGGGTGGGGGATGTCCACTGATACACCTAGCCTTGCGTTGCCCCATTCCATTCGCAGGAGGAAACCAAAGGTCTTCGCTCGTTCTCTTCTGCACTCTGGCAAAGACCCTAAACAAGCTTGTCACTGCACACTTGCGATAAATGTACCACTGCCATGAAGCCTTCAGCTCCTTTGCCTTCCAGTCTTGGGCTCAGGCGGGTTCGTCCGCTTGCCGATGGGGTGGTGCACCACGAACCCCTCCGGGTTTTCCTGCCACGCCACGAAGATGGCGTGATGGTCGTAGCCTTTGGCACCGCTGCACGTCGGCGTTTGGTCTATCATGCATGCATGCCGGCTTGCAAATAAACACGTTGTCCCGTGCCTTTGATCTGGGCTGCCAAAAATCGCCCTACTCATCGAACGGATCCTCTCCCAAACCCCTCCAAACACCGAGCTGCCGAAACGTCGGCGCTGGATGTGGTCCCCAGGCTCGAAGTCATGGGCCGCCATGTTTCGGCGATTCTTCGGCGGGGCCCTTCGGTGACCAAAACAAGCGAAACAACCAAACCCTGGCCCCAAAAGACAACAAACACAGGGTTGATTGGTCAACACAGGGGATGCTAACTTCAGTTGAGCGTGGTAAAACCTTCATGCACGACTGTCCGAAGTTGCCGAACGCTCAAAACCAACCGTTTCAATTGTACACCCCGCCAGATCACGGAGAAATTCTCAAATAGCTCATGCAAAGCCCAGCAGCTCTTTTGGCTTTTGGCCTTGTCACATTTGGCATTGACAAGGTCTGTGGGATCGATTGAATGGCTTTGTGCGACCCTTTGAACGGGTGCGTTGCTGTTGCCTTCGTCTTCATCCCCTCCCGGTCCACTACTTGCCTTCCTGCCCTAAGCCGCAGGGAGCTGCGCGCCGACGTATGGCTATGGGAGTGGCTGGGCAAGCACGCTGTGTGAATCACTGCAAAGGGATTGGAATTCACTCCGCTTGATTGGATGGTTGACATGGGGCTGGGGTACTTGAATTACGTCCGAGAATTCAGGCCCAGGGAGCCCAAATGGTTCAAGCCCACAAGCCACCGAGCCAAAACGTGGGTTACCCACCTACCACCAGCACCTCTTACCGGCAGGCTGTTTTTTTCTTTAATCTAGCTCTGGCCTGTAAAGCTCCGCAGCCTGGGCCAGGGCAAAGCCCAACAAGATCCACGTGGAACCCAGGCTTTTACCGGGGCCCTGAAAGTTAATCTGGAGCCTCAACTCATTTTGCAAATGAACCTTGTTTTTTGGCCCTTTCTGGGGCCCAAGTTGGCGCATAGCAACCTGTGCAAGCCTGCATTTCTTTCTCATAACCCCATTGAAGAAGAACAAGGACTGGTGCTTGGCGCAAAGATCGGAATAGACTCTCACGACCTAGCTGCTTCAAAACAGGCCATTCCCTTTCCCGAACTGGTTGATTGTTCTCACCTTGGCATTTTCCCAAAGGCCCCCCTGCCAAACATGCCCGCCTCGCCCCACCCGCCAGGCAAGATCCTTTCACCCGCCAGTGCCCGAGTTCCCCTGGACCTTGAGGGGAGCTGAGCGGTCTCGAAGTTAAGCTGGAAAACGAGGCAACGAGCCGACGGGCCGTCTGGCTTGAACCATCGGCGATGGGCGAGTTTCTCGCCCACGTCCTCTCGGCCTCTCGGCTGGAAGTGTGGCGCACGAGGCGGAACCGTCTGCGAATTCTGAGGGAATCTTGAGAAAGCCAAGGACAACAACTTGTACCATGGCATGACGCGCATAACTCATGTGGCATATGTCTAGGTCATATTCAGAAATGCGTTCACTCCTCGGGCCCGCGACACAATTGTTTAAAGGCCGCAACTAACGGCGATTGCTGGACCTTGACGCTTCAGGCGCGGCCCCTGCGTGGATGGGGCATGTTGACCTCCATCTGCCCGCAGCTAGCAAAACCCTCGGATTCTCACCAGCTTCCACATGATGCAAACTGATAAATCGCAACCCAGTGGTTGAATGGCCTACCCCAAAACCAAGTACGGAGTTAAAAGGGATTTGATTGCGGCTCCTGGCCCCGACCCTCCATCCAGGGAAGTACCTTGCGTCAAGCGCCGAAAAAGAGGCGGCGGTCTCGCCGCGGCCTGCTGACCTCCGACCAACCCAGCGGGCGCGAGTAAGCCATTCGCGCCCGCGTTGGGCACAAAAACTTCTGGGAAAACCGGCCAGGACGGAACTTGGTTTGGAATCCTGCCTTTTGAAACATGATTTGAAACCTCCCTGCCCAATGTGGAAAAAAGAATGGTTGGTTGACTAGCACCTCTCCATGTGTGCAAATTGCTGCCACACTGCTTCTAGACATTTCGATCCCAAGACCTTGTTCCTTCCTGGCTGACCTCTGGCACTGGGTCGGGCCACGAATTTCACAAACAACCTGAAAAAGTTGCACAATCACAGCACGAATAATTGCGCCCATGCCAAAGGCCTGCACCGCCCCGCTTAAACGTGGGCAGGGCTAAAATTGGTAGTTCACGCTCATGGTGTTGCAGAAGGCGTACTGGCTGGTGCGGGCAGAGTCCCAGGACCCGCTGGTCTGGTCGTCCGCGGGGTGAGCTGAGACGTTCAAGGCCTAGCGGCAGCTTGCGAGCAAGCTGAACGCAAGCTAAACCAAAGGGAGCCAAACAGTGGAACAGTGGTTGTAGGGTTGTTTCTTTTTCCCATTCTTTTTTGCGTTGCGTCCGGCCATGTCCGGCCTGCTATGGACTTTCTTTGCACGCCACTAAAGTTTCATGAGCATTCTCTTTGGGGGGCTGAAAAACTTACCATTTCCAGTTTTCAGGAATGCCCTCGGTACAATGGACAATGGTTCACAGCACCTTCCCAACGTGCAAAGGATGGCATTGGCCCAACACATGCGGTCTTCCCCAAGTGGCGAATTTTCCTGGGTTTGTTTCTCCAGTAGCAGCTCGGTGCCCTGAGCCCGCCCAAGTGCTAGCAAACCAGCTAGCAAACCGCAATGACGTCTCATAAACCTCTGCATTTGATTCGAAGGGTAGCCACAGATTTAACGCATGCATGCGAAGAAACCAGCGAACAAATCCGAAGGAGTCAAATCTGTGCCAAGTCTGGCTACCGTAAAGCATGCGCCAGAACTGAGCTGTGTCTTTTGATCTGGTTTCACTGTCAAGCCCTTCTTCCCATATGCCCGTGGGGTTGGAAGCCACCGCCAGCCCTTGAAGCCCCCTCTCACCCGCTCCTGGGACAAGGCCAAACACCCATTCACCGAGGATTGGGGCGGATGTGCCGGCACTGCCACGCCCATGTGCCCGTAGAAGCCGCCCTCACAGCACGCAAAACGATTGGCACGCAGGGCGTGCCAATCGAATTTGGGACTTGGGCCCACGCAGTTCGGTTGAAGAAACACCCCGATGTCAAATCTGAATGCGTGTAAGCGCTTGACTATCTTGCTCCAGGCATAGTTGTCGAAATGTCAAAGATGCGCCACGCCCCCAAAGATGAACCGGGGGCTTAACTTTCGTCTGATCCTTGATTCTCCGGGAAAAGGTCCGAAAAATAGGAATCAGATTTGATGCCCCCGTGCCCTGTCTCCGTTTCCCCTCGAACTTTGCTTTAGCACTGCCAAGTGTTAGGTGCGTTCGAAATGACCACCCAGCCACTCTGACTTTGAGGCAAAGCAGAATGAGAAACTCACACAAAGAACGCCCTTGAAAAAACGCCCCTTGGGTCAAGCGCTCTTTTTCCATCTCTGGTGGGGGCTGCTTGGAAAAGCCGGCCACATCAAATCGCCTGGAGCAGCCGCACGCAATCCACGCAGTTCATGCTCACGTCGATGGTCCGGTCCCGGCACTTCAGCTCGCTGGTGCTGGAGAAGGCGTGGAAGCCCCGCAGCATCAGCAGGCGCCGGAAGAAGTTGAAGTGCCGGCGCCGGAGCACCCACACCTAGCAAAGCAAAGAGCGGCCTGTTGCTTTGCCTTTTTGGCTTCCAGAATCTAAAGAGTCTGCTTCTGCTGGCATCTGCCCTTTTCATATCCATGCTGGCCCTGAAGCTCTAAGTGTGGGATGCCCTCACGAGTCTTGCACCTTCCTCTGGAGAAAAGAACTGTAGCCGCCTGTCGGTACCCTCAATAAGAGACACACACCAAAAAAAAACTGAAACAAGCGACCGGCAAAATCAAGGCCTTTTGCCTCTTTCAAGCTGCAAGCGAGTGTATCTCAACACTAGGACCCCTGCCACTGCTTGGTTTCCCTTTGTTTGTCATCATAAAGGCCTCGCTATTCCCAAATGAATTCCTTGCTGCTTGCACCGCTGTCACTGACCCGCCCTTTTCAAGCGCACGCCAAATGTTTGGGCGGCGCCTCTGCATGCTTCTTCTGGGTGTCAGCCTTGTGCTCGTGCTGAATGAGGCACTCCAACCACTCCCCGCTCTTGGACGCCTGCGCTCCAAAGCTGATGGCTTTGGTGCCATCCTTTTGCCATTCAAATACAAAAGAGCGCCGCAAGATTCAACTAAATCGGTTCTTCCTTTTTTGCGGGACAAGGCCCAAGTGGTCCTTCCCGGAAACGTCGCAGCCGAAGCGCCGAAGTCGAGAACTCAGCGATGGCCACTGCCCCGCCTGCTTCTCGGAGGTCTCCGGCGGCGCCGTCCGCGGCGGTGGGGACATCACCGCGCCCCTTGCCAGGCGGCTCCCCTGGCAAGCGAACCGCGCGGACGTGACATTTCCTGCGTGGGGGGTGGAAAATGGGGGCTATTGACAAACCAAAATGGGGTTTCTCTATTTCTGGGACGCAACCACCTTGCGAAATGAAAGGCGACAGGCGACTCCTTCAAATCGTTCAGAAGAGCGGAGAAGGAAACGCCATACCTACTCAAGTGGATAACGAAGTCGCAACTCAGTTGAAAAGAACCCGTCGTCTCAGGGGTGCCCAAATCCGCACCTCTGACCTCCAATCCGAAAGACCCGTAGCAAATCAAAACTGATTTACAGTAAGTGGTGAAAGGTCAAACGTGTCCCCCTCAGGGAAGGTGGCGGTCATCTTTCAATGACTCCTCAAGCCACCCAGTCCGCACACTCTTCGACAAGGACCGTCCAAATTCAAAGTTGGGCAAAGTTGGTTTGAACAACCAGGGTCCTGGGACCTCAAAGAGAATCCCAAAAAAGCGTTAAAACAGAGCAGGTCAAGCGTATTTCCAGCGGTTCGTGCAACTCCGAAGGTTGTGCAGGTTTCCCTGAAGCATGCCCGTTTGCTTCAGGAATCAAATTTGGGATCTTGGCATGCTAGGGGCACTAAGACAAAACCGCCATGTGTGCTTCTGACATTCAGGGACCATGCCCCAAAGTGGCAGGTTCGGCGCCTAACAACGAGCCCCCTCAAAAGGCTTGCCATTCTATCAACCGCTTTTGTGGCTTGTGAAATTGAAAATCCTGCCTCCGATCGAGCACCCGCCGTGATGCCCATCGTAGGCCGTGACGCCCAGGGGGACACCCACGACGGAGCCTTGCGCAAGCACAAACACAGCGCACCAAGAATCGCCCACCGAAATCCGGACATCAGGAGGAAGAGGGAGACGCCGAAGAACGCGCAAAGCTGCTGGAGCACCCGCAGCTGGAAGAATCCTCGTTTAAGAATACCGCGGCGGTGCCATCAGCAAGCCAAAATCAAAGTCGTGCTTGTTGCAGATTGTCGATGTAGGACATCTGATATGACTGTTTGATGTTCTTTGCCAATAGTGCTCGCTGTATATGTTCCACCTGTCTACCCGTGCATGTTTGCATGGTTCATCCATCTCCTGAGTTTGGGCCCTTACATGCCACACAAACAATTCCAAGCACTGTCCAAGTACCCACATGATTCTGAAGCACCCGCGCCGCACAACTGGTCTAGCGAGACGGGACGCGCAGTTGCGTGAGCCAGCTCCCCCAAGGCCCAATGCCATCAAGCTCGATCGTCGCACAGCCATCCCCTCGTGTGAACGCCAGTGGTGCCTGCGACGTTGGGGCTCGGTGCTGCGGAGGGGCCGCCGCTCGAGCACGTGCTCAATCCCGGGCGTTGGCAAGCTCACCCGCTAGCCGCCTCGAGCCTGCAGTGGGAGTTTTGGGTGACTTTGCGATTCGGCAGCCAGTGCAAAAATCGTTTCCCAGCAGTCCACCGGAGCGCATCTCAGGGAGTGCGATGGCCAGCAGCCTTGACAAGCCAGCTACGAGCTGGACAAAAAATATACCCAGCCTTCTGGACCCCGGCCCCAACGCACCCAACTTTGACGGGCCTCCGGATGTCGACATCCTTGCTGACTTCAGGTCCTGCAAGGTGCCCAAAGATTAGCAAGTTTTCGCGCAAGTCCCGCGCAAGTCCCGCGCAGCAGGTCCATTTCCGTATTGTGCATGTTTGTTTTTCTGCAAATCCCGGCAATTTTGCGAAGCGAATTTGTTAGCAGAAAATTTGCAGCGGTGTATGCACATGAGACCTCATACACTTAAAAGAGCATGGTATTGGGGGAGACCTCATGCTTATGAAGACCGCCGCTTGGATTTGCAAAAAAGAACGTGGGATAACAAGCGAAGGCACGGGCGGCAGCAAAGCTGACCAAGGGCATGCTGCACAGCGGTGCGGAGGCCGAGTCCGCCGTGGCGAAATGCGAACTGGGCAGCGCTCGCCGCAGAAGATCCCGCGGCTCAAACTGGAGGAGGCTTGCCAAGAAGGTTGGGACGCGGGCTGCAAAGCATCTGCTCAGGGGGGCAGGACCCGCGTGCAGCGGGCCGGGCAGGGACCCGGCTTTGCAGGCCTTCCACCAGCGCTGGTCTGGCATTGTTGCCGTTGCCGGCGCACAGGGCGCTTGCTGCTTGCTGGCCTGCCTGGCGCTGGCCAGGACGCCCTGGATGGCACAGCGCCCGCCCTTGCTTGAGGTGCTGGCTGCCGCGCGCCTTGGCGCGGCTGAGGAAGTCAGCCGCCTTGCCGCCACGGGCCGGCTGAGGGGCCCTGGGGCCGTGACGGCTTGATGGCGAGGACAGCTTGGTCGCCCTCGTCTTTGGCAGCGTTTCACCCTGTGCACGGTAAAAGGCGCGGAGGGAAAAAAAACAAACAACGCATACGGCTCAATGTTGGCAGACGTTGCGCCAGCTGGCCTCCAACAGCTTCCTCACTCTGCAGAAGTCTTGGTTGGCAGCTCTCAGCGCGGCCTGCTCGGCACCCCAGGGAGCGGCGAGTTCGTCGCTGCCAGCCTCGGCGTTACGCCCCGCGACCAGCTCCCCAGCCTGCCGGATCTACCCAGCCACTGGGGCCGCTCCCTCGCGCACGGGCTGGGGCAGGCAGCAACTCGCGCGCCTCACCGCTCCACCTGCCACCAACCTCGACGCCGAAGACGCCAAGGCGGCACCGGGGCGCCGCAAGCAGCTCAGGGTAAGTCCCCCCCCCCGGCTTATGCCGGGCCGTTTGCTTCATCATTTTTTTCGCACGCCTTTTTCCATCGCCTGGTCTGCCCCCTGCAGGAAAAACCCTTTAAGGGATGGGCTTTGATTTTTTTAGGAGGCCAGCTCCTCACGTGCACAAAGCTGGCCATTTATATCCCGGCGGCCCCCGGCCCAAGAGGCCGTCACCGAGGCAGACGGCTGACGGTGCTTGGCGGGCAAGCGGAGTCGGCATGGGCAGGGCCCGCCGAAGTTGGACTGGCCAGCAGCAGACCACCGAGCGAGCAGAGCTGCAACAACGGCCGGGCGTAGGGCAGGCGCAGCCCCCCGGGAGCGGGACTGAGCAAGGAGGCGGATGAAGCTTGCAGCCTGCTCGCTCCAGAGGCCACCGACCTCGAGCGCGAGGAAAACCAACCGGCAACGGTTGGACCGCAGCAGTTCGGGATAGACACGCTCCTTCCGCAACCGTGCCTCAACAAGAGCGGCGCCCCGCGTTCGCCCCGCAGGCAGCGGGGTTGGCCCGCAGAGTCCAGGGGCGAGACGCTCCGATGATGCTGACAGCTTGTTTCTCGGCGACGCAGCCCGTGGGTGCACTGCGGGCCTGGAGGACCGTCTCTTCCAGGACCTGTCCCTCCAACTTGACCCCTCTGCGCTGGCGCTGTTGGAGTCGCAGCAGGGGCCCTTCTGTGTTCTGACCGGCGCCTCCGGCACCGAAAAGACCTGCCGGCGCCATCGTCGCTTGGACTCCCTTGGCAACCACCGTGCTGTTGCGGAGTCGCGGGGGCGCTCTCTAACGGGCGGCCGCCCGGGTGTGCCGTGAGGCTGGGGCCCAGGTGACCACCAAGCAGCTGGCTGTCGACACCCAACACATCCTGCCAAGTAAGGGGGGGTCCGCCAGCACGCGGCTGCAGCTCGCAAGAACGGGGCATGGGCCTCAGGCAAGCTCAAGTGGGGCAGGACTGCACGAAGAAGCGAAGGCGTTTGCCTTTCCAAAAGAGGCAAGCTATCGGCCCAAGACGCCCAATACACAGCAGGGGCGATGGCGGCCGCAGAACGTAGACCGAGACCACCAAGCTGAAGAGGCAACCTTGCAACGTCCAACGCCTGCGGGAGCAACGCGAGGTCAGGAGCACCAGCGAACTCTGCCGTGGCGGGAGCAAACGCAGGACCGAGGAGTGCACAGAACTCCAAGGTGGGAAAACGAGCGAGCGCGCGCTGGAGCTGAGCTGCGACAAACTGGGGAGCCGACGGGCACGTCAAGCACGCGGAGGCCCTGCTGGGCGGGGGCCAAGGCAGGCGATCCGACAAACACAGGATCCTCGCCAACAGCAAGTGCGGAGATTACAGGGGGGCTCCCGGCCAGAAGCGTTCCAGACCCGCGCCTTGCTATGGTTCAGGCGGATGCACGCAGAGCGCCACAAAGTCTCAGACAAGCGACATCGAGGTAGGCCAACAGCAACTCGTTGGGCTCCAAACAAGCTCGGACTTCCGCAAGCGCGTCCCGCACGCCAAGGGAGTAAAGGGCCGGCATCAAAGTGTCTCCCTGCTCTCCCCCCCTCAGCCTGAGAAATTGTATGGGCTGCGCCTTCAGAGTCATGCCACACGAACTCAGACGCAGAGGCATACAACAAACGGACGAACGTTAGCCCGAGAACGGCGCGCAGTGCCTCCGCATGGCCCGCCGTGACACGTTGTAGCACCTCCACAGAAAGAACTGTAGCCTCAGAACCAAGCTCAACGGCCGAAGCCAAGGCATGGACGAGCGAGTCGGGTGGAGAGGGGAAACTGGTGCGGGCGGCAGGCCTCAAGAAAAGCGGGGGCGTGTTGCTGAGCCAAGGTCCGAGCGACCAGCCGCCGGAAGAAGTCACTGACGACAATGCCCCGGACACCGGACGGCTTCTGCAGAGCGACCAGGCGACCTAAACCAAGGGCAGACACGACTTCCGGGAAGACCTCTGCACGGGCCAGCAACTGGGCGACCTTCCAAAGCCGATCCAAGTCAACCTCATTATCCAGCATGAGCCGTGCTGATTCGGCGGTGAGGCCGGAAGGTTTTGGGGCGGCGCCCTTCTTGGCCCGGCGCAAGTTGGCCAGAAGGATGTCCCGGCACAGGGCGGCGGGCTCAGCAGGCTGGAAAAACAGGACCTCGGACGGCAGAGCGGAGTACGGGGCTGTTAAGACCTGTTGCACTGCTGCTAGCTTGAACCCAAACAACCCTCACAAAAGATAACCCACAGAGCGAGAAAAGCGCGCATTCCTCTTTAACCGGACAAAAGATAACCCACAGAGCGAGAAAAGCGCGCATTCCTCCTTAACCGGGCTGCACTGCTTCTAGGGCACGCGGTGCACCTAGAGCAGGGGGCATGTTCACACGCGGTGCACCTAGAGCAGGGGGCATGTTCACCCCCCGTGAAACGGATAAACAACGACAGACACGCGTGTCCTGGCATGCTGCAGTGCGGATGCACGGCGTGACAGCGGTCCGTGATTCGTAAGAGCGTACCGCATGTGCTGCTCTCAAATGCTGAGCGAGGGCAGGCGTGCCCAGGCCCGCTCAGAGATGCAGAGCGCCCGCAAACTGGCAAAGCAAAGCCTTGAATAAGGCAAAGTTGGGTGGGTGGGAGGGTTTCCAAGAAACAAGGAAGTTTGGGCCAAGGCTAGGAGCATCAAATGGCCACGGCGCATGTGAGATTCACAACAAGTCATAAACACAAGGGAGCAAAAGAAAACCCTAAGCGCAGGTCGCCTGGGTCCCGAAGCTCGGCCAGGGTGGCCTCGTTGCCAGGCGCCAAGGGGGCTGCGGTCAAGGCCTGGCGGGCCGAAGCAAGCTCGCCCAGGCGCACAAGGCGGCCAGCAAGGTCGTGCGCCGCAGGGGCCGGCCTCCGGCGGCAAGGAACGCCGCACGTCAAGGAGCAGTTGGGTCCAGCACCCGTCCTGGAAGGCCGCAAGTCAGGGCGGCAAGAGGGTAAGGGTCGCCCCCTTCCAGGACTGCCTGCAAAGCGAGGGGGTGCTGAAGCGTGCCGCTGCGCCGCCGCGGGAAATTCAGCAGAAAGGTAAGCCACTGCGGGAACCTGGGCAGACTGCACAGGGGCGGTCGCCGGGGCAGGCACGGGCAGGGGCGGGCACAGGGCGCTCTGGCAGGCGCCG